TAATCTCGTGGTTCGGTCTCATGTGGATCTGGATCCCCCTTCATGGGGCGCCCTGCTTCCCCTTTTATAAGCGAAGAGAAAGCACGGGTTACAGCGGAGAAAAAGGAGAAGAACGAGAGAGAGAAGAAGGCTTCCAGGATCGTCGGGTCCTTCTTCTCCTTCATGCGGGTCCCACCGATCCTGTAGATGTCAACAGGGATGGCTCCATGTCACGGCCCTGTTCATCACTGGCGCGATGCGTAGGCGTCATCTGCTGGTCATGGCGTTCAATTCTGTCCTAGCGGACGTCGTGGTGAACTAACATGCCTGTCAGCGTTCATACGAGGGTTAGGCAGAACAGCACCGGCACGCCCGACGCTGTTCTTGATGTGAATCCTCAGGTAAGGTCCGTCATGGCCACGGGTTACATCGAGGCATGCCAGTCTCTTCCCTGGTGTCAGAGTTTTGACCCAGGCCCATACGCTTGGACCTGGAGTGGTTGGTGGTGGTATGGGTCCCCGTCGGGCGAGAGGGAACCTATGCCCAAGGGGTCGGGTGAGATGGAGCCCGCACCCAAGGGGGCGGGTGAGACGGACCCCACGGCCTTGGGCGAGATGGAAACCGCGTCCTTGGGTCAGGCGAGATGGAGCCCGTACCCAAGGGTCGGGCGAGATAGACCCCCATGGCCTCGAGGTCGGGCGAGACAGGAAACGCGTCCTTGGGCGAGACGGAGCCCGCACCCAAGGGGTTGGGCGAAATGGAGCCCCGCGACCTTGGGCAAGACGGAGCCTGCACCGGCGAGACGGAGCCCCACAGCCTTAGGCGAGACCCCGTGGCCATAGGGTCGGGCGAGACGGAGCCCGCACCCAACGGGTCGGACGAGATGGAGCCCCGCGGCCTTGGGTGATACCCCGTGGCCTTAAGGTCGGGCGAGGCCTTTTAATACGTCTTGCTTGATCCGGGGAAGTCAGCTTGGACGCTAACTTTCTTGCTTTGGGTATGCCTACTATCGATACCCGACACCTATCATTATCGTTGACTGAACGCCAGGGCATGGTTCCTAGACAAAGGAACGAGCCCTTAACGGAACCGCAGCACATGCGCTCCCACCTGTCATGGACTCAAAACGCCCGAGTGGAGTTCCTGTCGTCAAGCCGGAGCCACTCCAGCGATGGGATCCCGCCAAGGCAGAAACCGCAGACGGCACGCAGACGCTCTCTAGCACTAGCGTCCCTCACCTGCGCTCACTACGATCGCGATCTCTCCCATCTCAATCCGTTGCCCCAGCCGCCGAGGATCGATCGATGGCCGCTGACGGGACACCGCTTCTGTGCGCGACGCGAGCGCGTTCGCCACCGTGTTAGACGGCGCTGCCATCACCACCGTGGTGGCGAACGACCTCGTAGAGGAGGAGCTCGCAAGCCGGCGAGACAGCGTCACGGTAAAGAGAGGCTATGGTGGGCCCCTGGAATGGCGGGAGGAGGCCGACGTGGCGCGCGGGTGGTCGTCCGCGGTCGTGGAGCGCGGCCTCGCCCTACGCCGTCGAGGAGGCTCCGCGTCGTTCTGCCGCCCCCCAGTGCCGGCCCTTAGGGTAGGGCACAAGGTGCGACGGCCGAGGGCCCAAGCGGAGGGGCCCAAGCCCAGGTATATAGACCTCAGGTCCTATAGTCCATTAGGCATTAGCAAATTAATGAGAAGAAAGACATAGAACTGGTCAGGCGGCCCAAAAAGACAATATGAGCATTTCTTTTATAGTTTCCTTTCCCACGGCCCTCGGGTAAAGAGGAGACGAGGAGTCACGTTGCACACAGCACACTCTGATTGTGAGTTCACGACGTGCACCTTACACACGCGAAGCTGGCGAGCCGCGTCGCTGCGAAGAGCTAGACTACCAAAGAAACGGACACGGCGCACGAGGACGGCGACTAGGGGCTCCACGATGACGACATCTTGATTCTTGGCTTCTTATGAATTGTGATCACCCATCAGTTGTTTAGGCCCGAGGTATTTTTTTTCTTTTTATTTTTAATCCAAATTAATTATTTGTATAGTATTCCAGACTTCTAGTACTTTGTACCTATATAGTCATATTTTTCTTCTAATTTAGGTGTTATAATTTTAGAATATTACCTAAGAAACATTTGTTATGGGTGAGAAAAGAAAACGAATATATTGTTTTTTTAATCTATATTGTTCCTCGATAATTATCATACATCTACAAATATATTGCTTAATCTATATTGTTCCTCGATAATTATCAAACATGTTAAATTAAAAATATGTTATTGAATTTGCTTTTGTTTTACTAGTAAAATTAATATATATATATATATATATATATATAATAAGATTTTATTGATAATTAAGAGGGGCCGTTGCGACCGGAGAGCCTTAAAATCCCGGGACCGGCACTGCCGCCCCCGCGGTGGCTTGGTCGGCACCGCCGCCGCCACAGCCACGAAAAAGCGGCGCGGCTGTCGCGAAGTGGCCGGCGCGTCTTGTGCGCTCGGAGTCGGAGCAGAAGCGGAGGAGCCAGTGGTTGATCCGGGCGTCGCGTTCTTCTGCCTCGCCGTCCTCTAGTCAGGCTGTGCCACACAGTAGTGTCGATCGGTTGCATTAATCTGTGTTCTGATTTTATTACTTATTACTTTCTAGTTCTATAGACTTATTATGTGTTCATACTTCTGTGGTATTTCAGTATTTGTAGACTTGTCTTTGTCTAGTTCATGTAATTGAGTTCGTTATTGTAATAGCTTCAAGCGACAGATTAATCAAAGCAATGGAGTAGATTTTGTAATTTTTTATATAATACATTTCAGTCTTGTGTTACTGCGATCTTGTATTTGAGAAGTGTTAAAGCCAGCCACAAAGGTTGCTGCTGCTACCATCTTGATACATAAAACACTATAGCAACAGTAGAATTCAGCAGCAGCAAAGCCAACCGAACATGCCCGCAAATCCTACGCCTTTTAGGGAAAAAATATCATTCAGCTTTGTGGTATTGCATACCTAATTATCTATCTGCTATTGACTGAGAATACAGTTCCAACAACATGAGCATCTTAACAAGCCGATCCTAGAAGCTATAGGCGTTTGGTTTGAAAAATAGAAGGTCCACGCTCCGTTCGCCTTGCTGAATCTTGGCTGAAATTGGTTCAAAAATACTGTTCTGGCTGAAATGTTGTGAGAGAAAAAGACTGTTCCGACTGAAAAAAGAAACCGAACAAGCCGGATATGGGATAAGCAGAACGGGTTAGAGCTGTAGAATGGGTTGGTCTATCTCCACCTTATCCTTAACTAGTAAACTAGATGAATTTACGATGAACCATCTTATCTAGAATGAAGTGATTCTCAAAGCAAACACAAATGATCAACCTGTTCAGATAGTGGTCTCCAATAATTCTTTTCTTTTTTTTGAACCTGGTCTCCAATAATTCTAGTGACATGGTTTGCAACTCTAGCAAAGAACGGTTGTTTTTTTCCCCTATATACATGATCATTGTTGTGTTCATCCTCGATTAAAAGAAGTCAGGAGTTGTCTATGATGCAAATTCTTGGACTAGTCTGATAGTCTCCACTCTCCTGCATGGTTTGTTGCGGTTTTGCTTGACAGCTTCAGCTTGAGTTCCATGCACCGTTGTTGTATTTGGTGTGGCTATTGTCAGCGCTGGCTCCTATATATCTTAGACGAAGTTTTTGCAGCGAATGTGCCAGGCATATGTTGCATATCAAAAAGTTTGGTGTCCCAATAAACCATAAAGGGGGTGATATGATGAATGTTGCTTATACGTCAGTCTGTCTGTCGGTCATAGCCAGTATTATGTCAGAAGCTCATATTTGATACTGTTTCATTTAGCTTAACATGTGTAGTGTTTTCTAATTGATTTTTAAATTTCAACATGTGTGAGATTAAAAGCAATATAAATAAGAAAACCGTGAGGCTCTCCTACATCTTTTAATAATGAAATTGAATAAGATTATCTTGCCTCTATGTCATGGGATGCACAAAGCCTACACGGTGTTACACCATTTTCCGTGTACAAGCTGAGGGAATCATCGATTTAAATTTTCGTCAATAAGAAGGGCTGCAAACATTGAAAGGTGGAGATGACTTCAAAGTTTTTTTTTTTTTTTGAAACGATGACTTCTAAGTTCTAACGTCTTTGGAACACTGTTTGTAGTTGCTACCTTTAGAATCCTAGTCTGAAGATGGTCAAATCTGATCAAAGCTGAATTTGTTTGAAACCCTTTTGAAAGACAAAAAAAACAAGGACGAAAAATGTTCATGGTCGTATTTGAAACCCAAAAAAGAGAGAGCTTTCAGGAAAAGGCCTTCATCAACTGAAAATCGCTGAACTCGCTGATTTCTGATGTCTAGACTCGGTATTTTTGCCCCTTCGCAAACCTAACCATCTTTCTCTCATGTGGACTGAACGTCAAAACAAAAATTGCAACTAATACAAGTCTAGATAAATCATCACGAGTCAATTTTAAATCTTAAGATGAGTCCATGCGACACTTCCAACAAGCTCCTCTGAAGGTGCATCTAGATCCTGGAGAAAAACTACGATGGCAGGCAATCTTCCATACAAGGATTCTTGAGTCCCCATATGGCGCGACGGTAATAGGCTCTAGCAAGAGCTATCGATGTGGTTGACGTCCCGCCGGCCGCGTCCGGTGCCCCATGGGCCAGCGAGGCAGCACTTCGATATGTCCGAGCCGTGCTGATCCTACGAGAGCAAGCAAGTGCAAGGGATAAATTCGCAATATTATAATGTTATATAAGAACCACCACAGGAGCAAGCACGCGGATACAATAATCAAATACTCCTCACATATAAGCCATGGCATATCAAGCAGTGCAGGTGAACAAGTCTTTATGGTGGCGAAAGACGGCAAGTGGTAGCATACAGCATGCTACCCACGGAAGTACTACTACATACCCAGCATAAACATGCGCGAATACAACCAGGTCCAGGGAGGGGTACAAATATGTGGCAGGGTCCAGAGTCCAGACGACATTACTCGTCTTGGATGGCGTCCTCCTCCTCGTCCTCGTACTCCGCCTCCTCATCAGCAGTGGCATCCTGGTACTGCTGGTACTCGGACACCAGATCGTTCATGTTGCTCTCGGCTTCAGTGAACTCCATCTCATCCATGCCCTCACCAGTGTACCAATGCAAGAAGGCCTTCCTCCTGAACATAGCAGTGAACTGCTCACTCACACGGCGGAACATCTCCTGGATGGAGGTGGAGTTGCCAATGAAGGTGGAGGCCATAGAGAGGCCACGCGGCGGTATGTCACAGACACTGGACTTGACGTTGTTGGGGATCCACTCCACAAAGTAGGACGAGTTCTTGTTCTGGACATTGATCATCTGCTCGTCCACCTCCTTGGTGCTCATCTTGCCACGGAACATGGCAGAGGCTGTGAGATAGCGGCCATGGCGTGGGTCAGCGGCACACATCATGTTCTTGGCATCCCACATCTGCTGGGTTAACTCAGGGACAGTGAGAGCACGGTACTGCTGAGAGCCACGCGAGGTGAGTGGCGCAAAGCCAACCATGAAGAAGTGCAGGCGAGGGAATGGGATCAGGTTGACTGCAAGCTTGCGCAGATCAGAGTTCAGCTGTCCTGGGAAGCGCAGGCAGCAAGTGACTCCACTCATTGTTGCACTGATCAAGTGGTTCAAGTCTCCAACTGTTCAGGGAAAAAAACTATGTCAGAACAGTATTCAAGAATTACAACATAATAAACTGCTACATGATTTCTGTAAATAAACAGAATTATTCAGTAAGTGAACACTATAATTACAAAGCATATAGAAGGAATAGCCAATGTCTAAACAGGTGTAAAGTCATTTCATCTGATAAGCAACAGTTATTGATTATATAACTAAGCTAATTTTCTATTAGTACAGAACAGCACATTGACAAGGACAGCCATGGAGAAATAATGAGTTGGCTTAATTGATGAATAGGACAAGTGCAAAACATATTAATTAATCTGGTACACAGCAGGTGCCATTTTTTTTTAATATAGGGCAGCCATGTGCTAACCAGCTAGTTAGGGCCATGCCACAATAACATCAAAATATCTGGCAATACAAATATTAAAAACTGAATCAAAATTACTGAGCAAAAATATATTATTGTGGCAAGGCCATCATTGGAACATAACTCTACCTGATAAAGCATATCACAAATAAAACATTTTCAACACAGGATAATTGACATTGAGTTTAAATCAACTCACAGCTAGGTGTTGTAAGCTTCAGAGTTCGGAAGCAGATGTCATAAAGCGCCTCATTGTCCAGAACCATGCACTCATCAGCGTTCTCAACCAACTGATGGACCGACAGTGTTGCATTGTATGGCTCAACTACAGTGTCTGAGACCTTGGGCGAGGGGAAGACAGAAAAAGTGAGCATCATACGATCAGGGTACTCTTCCCTGATCTTTGAGATGAGAAGGGTGCCCATTCCAGATCCAGTGCCCCCTCCAAGGGAATGGCAAACTTGGAAACCTGATCACAAGTTAAGAATATTAGTAAGTTCCAGCCAACACAATGTAGAAACAAGTTAAATTACACTATGAGACCAAGGACTTCTCAATTTATCATAGTAACCCTGTGCACAAACCAGATAGTGACAAATCTCCTTTTTCTTTTTGTATCCGAAAAGTTAAGGGCCTTCTGATTGTTTCTATCTGGTTTGTGGACCAATATCATACAGAAGAAAATATCTATTGCAGATGCCAATCGCATATTCCATATCAACACTTTAAACAGCCTTTCAGGTATGAAAGAAATCAAACAGCATATATGGGTCGAACTTCGTTTGCAGTTAAAACCAGTGAAAATAGATATTGGTGAACAGGCTCATGTGGCTACACTTAACAGCGAAAAAAACACAATCCGGCAATACATAAGGGTGAATCCTAAAGTATAGTAGCCAACAAAACAAAGACAAGGGGGTAGATAAATAATTAGTATCAACAATATAGAATACTAAAGTTTACCAGCAAGCACACACTGGCCAACAACCAGGTAACTACACCAAAGCATGCTTAAAAGCTAAATAATCACATGATGGTGCCTTCCAAGAAGTTCAAGAGTAATAGACAACATCGTATCTGAAAGTGCTCTCATCAGATCTAACACACATCATAGCAATGACAAAGGCATAATTAACAGTGTGCTTTCAGGTCAAAAGATAATTAACAGTAAGCATTTAAGGATGGTAAAAATGAAATGGACCTTGGAGGCAGTCGCAGTTCTCCGCCTCTTTCCTCACGACGTCAAGCACGGAGTCGATGAGCTCAGCGCCCTCTGTGTAGTGGCCCTTGGCCCAGTTGTTCCCCGCGCCAGACTGGCCGAAGACGAAGTTGTCGGGGCGGAAGATCTGGCCGTACGGGCTGGTGCGGACGCTGTCCATGGTGCCGGGCTCGAGGTCCATGAGCACGGCGCGCGGCACGAAGCGGCCGCATGAGGCCTCGTTGTAGTAGACGTTGACGCGCTCGAGCTGGAGGTCGGAGGTGCCGACATAGCGTCCGGTGGGGTCGATACCATGCTCGTCACAGACGACCTCCCAGAACTTGGAACCGATCTGGTTGCCGCACTGGCCGCCCTGGATGTGGAGGATCTCCCTCATGGCTGGATCTCAAGGTTGGTAGCTGCAAGTGGGAGTGGAGCAGAAGGGTGGTTAGTAGCGAGAAAATGAAGGAGACGTTACTCCGAAATGGGTGTGGAGAACCAGATCTATAGAGGAATAACAAGCTCCGGCACGAAATCAATCAGATCCGGGAATTACAAGGAAAAAGTGCAATTAAAAAAAAGGATTGCTCCGAAAACTTAAAACATTGGATGCAGCACCACGAGGGAAGTGAGGAGCAGCTTGAGATCTACCTGAAATTCTAAGAGACTAGCTCAGTGAAGCGCGTCACCTACGAACAAAACCAAATCCCAATATCCCAAAATAAGAACCGAGAACTTTTATAGTCCCTAAACAGCGATAGATGATTCATGATCCTGATAATCAAACGGCGAAACAAAAATTGGAGCGGTGCAGATCTAAGCAAAAACATAGCCGCACCAGCAACGAAGCAAACCGCAACATCCACCCAAATATAGCCAAAAAATTCAAACCTCCCAAAACGAAACCTAAAAAGTCCCCAAAATCTGCTACCGCCAGGCATAAATCCCCCACGGGAACACGAAACAAAACCCAAAATCGCACCCAGATCAGACGCAGGCAACAAGGTATGGCACAAGGGTTCCGCAGCATTTTACCTCACAGAAGCTAGTCGGCGGCCGTCCAGATGAGGGGGAGGTGTGGTAAATGAAATGAGCGAGTGGCCAGAAAGGGGGCGGATTTTATAGTGGGCGCGGGGGCTAGGGCACCGGATCAGGCGGCCCAGTCGTGTTCCCTCCAACGCCGCCGTCTGCCGCCGGGGGCCGTCCGATCGTTCCCATCGGACGGACGGCACCGTCGGGTTCGAAAACGGCCCGTTGGGCGCTTGGATTTTGAATTTTTTCGGGTGTCCGCTTCCGTGCCAGCGGAAATGACGGTGTTGCCCCCGGCTCCCCCGCGGAACGGAGCGGTTGTTGCGGTGTGACGTTACTGCCCCGGGCGCGTCTCGGCGTTTGTTTGCTTCTGGTTTTGCCGGCATCGGCCCAGGATGGGCTGTCAGACCGTCTCGTTTTGCGTACACAAAAAAAAAAAAAAAAAAAATGGCCAGGAGTATTGCTATCCAAATTTGATATTCGCCTGGATTTGGTCACTACATCGGGCCGGGAGTGTTATACTATTAATGATAATTTCTTATAATGCACTGGGAGCAATTCTTATCTTACTTTTTAACTAAAATTAACTAAAAATTAATATACATGTTTGGATTGAGAAATGAGATGGTCATCTCATCACTCTTCAGTCTTCACTTTTTTTGTTTGATTTACCAAATGGAATAGATTAATTCATCATCAACTCATTCCATACAAGCTACTCCGTCTATCCTAAAAATAACACAACTAGTTGAGTTAAACAATATGTGAGTTTGACCAATTTTATAAAAAAAAGTATTAGTATTTAATTATGTATGATACTAAATAAGTGACATTAGATTCAACATAGAATATGTAACATGAGTACCTTCGTTAACGTGATACGAAAGACTAATAACTCACTGTTCGACCTAGGCAAGTCTAATAAAAGCTCAAGGACTACACTCACAAAGTGTGCTCCCCCGGAATCTATGGATGTGTTTGGTTCGCTTCCACCACCAAGTCTGCCTAGCAAAATAATCTAGACTGGCTCTAGTCAGTTTTAGCCAATGCAACTAGCACTTTGTTTGGTTGTTCTGTTCTAGATAAGCCTAGATTGGTTAGACCTAGTTTGATCACAATACTAGTTCAAGTGCTTTCACCTCATCTTGGTAACTTCACCTCCATCTTCTCTAGTTCATACATTTTGTCGAATAGGTTGCGAGCACTTGCCATGCCGCTCCACGAACACTGTAGAAGGGCAGCAGACTGGCATTCGCATAGGTGCCATGGGAGTATCACCTCAACAGCTCCCTGAAAACACAAATGCAATCATGAATTCAGAAAACGCTAAAAATCAAAATCGAGAAAAATGCAATCTACGGAGACAAAAATCTTGAAGCACACCAAGAGCTCCATCGAAGTGCAAACGCAATCACCTGCAACAGCTTCCTTGAAGCGGAGCGACAGTCCGCACCCACCGCGAAGACGAAGCCGCTACGGACGAGACTTTGGTCAGCGAGTGTGAACAAGACAAAGGGCGGCGATGCGTGGGCCCGAGCAGGGTGGCGGCATGTGTGCTTGGTGGCTTAATAACGGCGCAGGTGAGAGCATAGGCTCCAGTGAACAGAGACGGCAGTTGCATAGCCCCCCGCCTGGCTCCGTGAAAGCGCTCGCCCTGACCGTTTGCTACAAGTCTGGCTTCGACACCCTTTTTAGCTTCCTCTAGCCAGGCTTAATGTCTTGGTCAGGCATCCAAACACGAGGAGGTCGCATTAGCTAAGTCTGGATAGACCCTAAGCCACCATCCAAACACATCATATAGGCCATGTTCGTTTTTCTTATAATCCGTACTTTTCAGTTTCTTTTTTTAGTCGGAACTGTGTTTTTTTCTCATAACAAATCAGCCGGAACAATGTTTTGATTTATTTTTTCAGCGAAGCGAACGGGGCCTATAAACGTAGACCCATGTCCTACTTCGTGAGATTGGTCAAACTCAACATACTTTGACTTCTTCTTGCTATATTAAAATTATATTTCTTTATGTGTAATTCCTGGGATTTGACAAGATTTATAAGGAATTGTTTTTTTTTTGTCGGAGGGCGCGTCCAACAAAAATATCGCATAGGGGCACATTGGTCATCTTCCTGCGGAGTGACAAACATGGCGATGGATACGGAGCAGCAGGCGAGGAGCATCCATTTGGCTTAAGCTTACGCAATAATCGTTGTAGTCAAGCAGCGGATTTGTCCTCCTCCAAGGGATTTTATTTTTATTATATTTATCCGCCGGCGACGCACTGCTGACACGGTGACTGGACCGACCGACTCCTCCCATATGGGACTGAACGAATAGGTGAAAATGAGGCTGATTAAGGTCCTTTTCGAATCGATTAGCTGGTAATAGCTCACAGCTGCTGACTATTAGCTGGTTTGATCCAACTATTAGCCGGTTCGCTTCATTGTGTGCTAAATTCTTTGCGTGCTGTTGAGTCCATCGCGCATCTCTCCAGCTCTTCTGACCCGATCGAGGCCTGCCTTGCCATGCCTGCGATCTTTTTCTGCGCGCATGTGGTGGCAACACCAGCGAGACTGTGGAGTGACGAGAGGAGGAGGATGCGCCAGTCCACGAGCGGGTCACATGCACGGGCGCAGAAGAAACAGCACACCAAGGGGCAGCAGCCACAGCGCCCCGGTTGGCGCCGTGCGGCTGCTACTTCCTTTCCTTTTCTTCCTCGGTGTGCCGTGCTAAGCGTTGATCCAGATTCCAGGCTGAGCTGGCTCGTACACATCTGGCTCTAGAGACCGGATCGGAATCGGATGAATGATAGGCAGGCGTTCACATCACACAGCACATGGTGCTCGGTTGTACACCTGTACCCGTTGCTGTGTGGTGTGCGACAACAGTCCATGGACCAGCCGCAGCCGATTGGTCTACTCTACTCTCTTCCCGTCCTCCCGTCTCCTCTCCTCTGTGCCTGGACAGCGCAGGCGCATCTCCATCCTGATCTAATCTAATCTAATCTAACAAAATAATAAGGTGGTGGGGTGATTAATAGCTCGCAGACGGAAGACGTTCTCGCCTGCTGATCACATCGTTTGGTGCACCTAATTAGTTGCCTTGTCCTCTTTCACGGAGTGACGCCGAAACCTCTTTTTTTTTCCCTCGTTGGAGTGGAGAAAAGAAAATGTATCACAAGCTGTTCCAAAGGGTTCTGCTTCGGCCAAACGCAGTGGAGATGGAGAAAGTAAGGGAGTGCAATGTACGGCACCGACTAGTGGAGATCCCAAGGTCGTGAATTCGTGATGCCGGCGTTGCATAAGGGCGGGCACTTTAGCGTTTAATCAATCTATAAGATCAAGCATCAGAAAGCATCGTCGGTTGGTTTTGATTAATGGCCCTGGCATTCTGTTAAACAGTCCCTGAGGAAACTATCTCAGCAACGCCAACGCTCCAATGCGTTGGGCGCGAAGCACATGTCCCCAGCGCAGTAGAGCCTGCTTGCCAACCGCGTGTGGCGAGACTTTCAGCCTGTTCTTGTCCAGTCTCAACTCGTTTCAGTTTATTTCAGCTTATTCTCTTTCACAGAACACTATTAAATTAGCCGAACACCCTCCACGGACTGGATTAGCTGAACGAGCTGTTTGTGACGAGGACATCCCAGCGTCGACACTTCTCCCACATCTAAACAAAATGCTATTGACATTGTTGGACCTATTACAAGACAACGGAAAAAAACAGTTGGGGAAGGAAATAAATGCTCAGGTGAACGCTAACCTTTCATTCGTTACAAACAATGTTGAAGATTCATTGATGCATTCAGGTTGTTGCTTTATTATTCTTAGGAATGATGGAGCATATGAAAGTGCATGGGATGATGATAATTTTAGTCCACAAGTGTTGCTCCAGTGAATTCTTCAAGTGCAAAATTCAGGGCTGAAAAGATTCCATTTAATTCATGGATGTGCAAGGCTGCTACAAGTATTAGGAAAGAATATGCAACCATGTTCAATCAAGACATAAGCTAAAAGAGGACGGGCAGCTGTGAATTATGCTCAAATGCAAATCAAGGATGTCAATGCCACCTATTAATTAGGTCAAAGAAGATGAAAGGCTAGGAAGGCCAACCACTTCTGGAAGCCAACAGTCATGCTTTTTTACTTTCTCGCTAGTAGTTATCACTTATGTAGTGTAAACTAAAAAGTACTCAATTAAACTATAAGTATGATTGTAATAGGACGTGAGAGGCATCATTTGGCTATCAAATTTCGTGCAAACACTTGTGTTCTATTCAGTACAACCACACATGAGTCTTGAGAGGCTTGCAAAACTTTTTCTTTTAATTTCTGAGGGAGTTGTAGAACGTCGAACTGCGGTTCACCCAATTTGTACCTTCACGTCTTTACGACGTGATTGCGTGGGCTGGCATCTTTGGTGTGTGGAAGGGCGATTGTCTTGGCAATTCGTTGTGAGTGTAGAACTCACGGTGCACTACCTCGTCGTCGGGTCATGCAGTAATAGTTATCAAGTTCGTGGATCCTTCAAGAAGATCGGGCCACAACTACTCGTCACACGCAATCCCTAGACGTGTGCACATCACTTTGAGACTTGATACCAAACATGATCTTATTCAAGGATTGGCCACTTAACAACATGCAGCCTGTTCATTTGGCTGTGGCTTCTCGTAAACGATCGTAAATTTCCAACCGAAACAGTATTTTTCTCTCATACAAACCAGCCAGTAGTACTTCTTCACGAACCAGCGACGAAACGAACGAACCAACCGAACAGGCTGATGATTGAACTGCAGCCTGCAACTCAAGGTCCCAGTCCTTCTCCTTCACGGAACAATGGCAGGCAGCCCAGCCCTGCAGAGCAGATTATCACGCTCACAACGCTCGCATCCCAACCTGAAACGATGCATATTGTCACGTCGTCATATGCGAAGGTGGAGTGCAACGGCGCATCCAGTACAACCCGCATGTCATTTCCTGGCGGACCGTTCTGTCGCAGCTATTACATCCTTGCTTGTGTTCCAAGTTGGATATCTGCGACAGATGATGCCACACACCTTGTTCAGGTGGGAGGAAATCGCGCTGCTAAGAAAACATGAGCGTCAACCCTGGTTGGGAAATCTCTTCGGCACACACTTGCTAGTTGCTGCTGCAGAATTAAGGCCATCCCACCCAAAATCCAAAAATTTTCAAGATTCCCCGTCACATCAAATCTTACGGCACATGCATGAAGCATTAAATATAGATAAAAAGAATAACTAATTGCACAGTTTGCCCGTAATTGGCGAGACAAATCTTTTAAGCCTAAATAATCCATAATTGGACAATTTTTACCAAATATAAACAAAATTGCTACAGTAGCCAAAAGCCAAAAAAATTCGCATCTAAACGGGGCCTAATTGTCTATGGGTTCTATGATCGATCTGTCAAAATTGCCGAACCACTTTCCAGCTGGGTTTCCTTTCTCTCTTTATCCTGCAGACGTTGCTTCTGCCAGTGAAAATGTGCACCGCACCAACCGCATCTGCCGGATTTTCTTCAGATACACACTTTGTACATCTGTCCCATAGAGAGGACGAAAGGTGCTGCTGCAATCCGGTTGCAACCAAACAAAAAGCATGATGTTAAAACTCACATTTTGAGGAAGAAAAATGTAATGTACGAAAATTCAAATCACAGACGAAAACAAACACCACACATGCTAGTTAGCTATGCATATCTGGCAGATTTTCTCGTGCCAGATGTTGATGATTAAACAAGATTTTAATACAGACAACATTGCATTGCTACAGAATTAGAGTACAGACCAATGAGTACTTCGTACATGGAACAAAAAGGAACCATACCAGTTTGAGTGCCTGCAGGGATTGTAGTTGGGGCATTGCTATCAACATGGTACGGCGCAGGATATAATGTTCAAAACTGCTCCTGTGAGTTGAATTAGCAGGTTAACTAACTGAAGACTTTGTTAGCCCTCACCAAACCAAAAAGGGATCCAAGTATTCAGAATCTCAAAACTATAGCTGTGTTCAGCACAAAATTCATGGCAGAAGCAGAACTCCAAAATGGTTATCTGCGGTGGCATAACCAACTGTAATCAGAAACAGACATTTGATCAAACAGCTTCATCATATAATCTACAAAGATCAAAAGATGGCTGATCCCCCTCATGCATCCAAAGATATGTCATCATATGATTTTGGATAGTATATAAGTGCCCCTCAGCTGGTTACCATGGGTCCCTATGATAGCACCAATGTTTTTCTCAGGGAAGCAAAAGTAACGTGCCAAAACAACCTGGCTACTTCTGCTTTTGGTGACAAACAACAGCACTACAAGACGAATCTGAGTCAACCAACCATAAGTCCATATTTTCAAGTTGCTTTTGAACTGAATCTGAAGCCCTACTGTGAGACCAAAAAAGCACATTACTTTGGTCTTCTGATATTGATCTGTTTGAGGTGTTAGGCCCTAATTCAATAACTCTGATAGCCCCATCTAGTTTTCCCAGCCTAACACCAGCACTGCTCGCCAGCACTTCAGTTAGCATATGGACAAAACTCTTCTGTTTGATGGAAACAGAAAATTCAGTAGATGTACACATCGCTTTCACTGTTGACATAGTAAGTTCATTCCATTTGTTTTTCAAGTCTAGTGAGCTCCTTATAAACATCAAACCTTCATCTGCAGTAAAGAAGTCAACCGACTGATCTGATGGCTCAATCAATTTATTGCCAAGTGAAATCATATTTCCATTTAGTAGCCATAGATTGTACCCCAGGTCCAAGCAAGCTTTTATCACATAAGATTTAACCAATGTTTCTTAACAAAATCATCAGAACCCTGCAAACTACTCAATTTGATGCTCAAGAAATTTCATACCATCAATGACAGGATATCCTCTATGAGCAAGGTCATCCAGAAACTCTGAATTGTCACCAAGGAAAATAGAGTTCTTCATGCCTGCCTTGTCAAGATGGCAAATCAAGTTTCTTGCAAATCTCTCTTCTATTGAGTACAGAGTTACAAGAACAACAGTACTTTTTAATTGCACGGATTTGAGCACAGAACCAAGTACACTATTTTTTCTAACAATTCTTCCTGGAAGAGCTTCATTGAAGCAGAAATCATACCACTTTAGCTTCTTTAGAGGCTGCAATTCCCATAAATTGAAATCAAGATTCTTCCCATCCAACAAAGTAGAATCTGGCCCAACACTTTTCCCATAGTTCACACCTGCATCCCTATGAGAGACGCTGAGGGCCCTTTCCTTCAGCAAGTTTGTGTAGATATTGAAGTATCCACGTGAGTGGACAAATTTAATGAACCAAGGAGTCCATATTCTCTCACCCATCTTCTTGTACCATCCTGTAGTTTTCTGCAATGTTAGGAGTGAAATAACAGCATCAGTAAAGCTAACAAATATTGATAGAATATGAACATATATCATCATAGGAAGAAAATGCTATAAATAAGAAATGAGGTACATAAATTCCATTAACATAGGAACTGAAGAAGCAGACAGACATTACGTAAGAAAAAGAAAGTTTACCATGCCTTGGAGAATAGGTTTGAGTCCTTTGGCTTTGTGGTCATCATACCATAATCGAAATTCTTTCCATGGTTTTGGAAAGAGAAGTTGACCCCACGTGCCTACCATCTGATACAAGAAAAGCTGAGTCTCACTATCCAGCTGTATCTTGTTTCCATGTTTACCTATGTAGTTCGAGATCAACTGGTTAACAGAGGCATTGCAAAATTGCCACCACTTGCTGTAATCATATTAGGAGTAAGTAGTGTGTGTATACTGTAATTGCGTTCAAAAAGTGTATATACTGTAAGAATCACCAACAAACATTTTCCTTGGAGTGGAAACAGAAAAACAGATAGTCTCAAAGACCAAAGAATGCAAAAACAAACAAAACCATACCAAGAGGAAAATTTATACTGGAGTTACCAAATTTGATTATAAAAATGATAAGCATACAATTTACTGTAAAAAAAAAGAATAGCTGCCACAAATTCCCCTCTGAGTTCAAGTGACTGTATTGTATAGTACCTAATTTTTTTTCTGTGGCCTCGCTATATGGCATTGCATGATTGTAAGGCCTAACCTCCAATTCGCATTCAAAATAGAGACTAAGCAAATATGACCAAACAAAACTAATGTTTTTTTTGCGATAAACAAAACTATTGGTTGTGACACTCTAATTAGATCATAGATCAGCAATATACTTGAATAACACTGATATATGCAGAATTTAGAATACCTTTTGTATATTTGGCAGTTGTACACCATATTAGCGCAAAATAAAACCATGGGCTATCATGGACCTATATCATCAAATGGAGTGTTTGACTAGACACGATCCACCCCATTTTACCAGGGCTAGTCAACCCTGAACCTGGGAGCACTGTCTGTCAGTCTCTAGGTGTGGGACTATGTTTTAGTCAAATCCTGGTCCTGTACATTATTAAATTCAACTGTACAATGGTTTGCCCAGGGGTTGTTCATGTGTCTAGTTTTAAGTTTTGGACCACAAACGAATTATGTTATAATGTTACAGACTGAACTGCCATTATCCAAATGGTATCCAAAGTAGTTGATGGGGATTGAAAACATTGTTATGAGGTAGACCAAACATGGCATCTAATTTATCACCACTTACTCAAACTGCACAATAATTCAAAAAACAGATCATACATAATGAACACGTAACAGTTTAAATTGATACAAGATTACCACCACCCATATAACACAGTAAATTATCTTCTACTTAGAGCAAAGGTTACTTGCTAATTACATCTTCATTATCAGCCTGCATGGCTCATCCCGTATATACAAAAAAAAAAGGGAAAAAAACCATAGGGACAATTGAAGACAACCAAAATCCTACATATTGATTTCCACAAGTAACATAAATGTTACATGTTAAAGGAGCATAGAAATGCTGCTGCTACAGCATTTTGATCACTAAGTTATAATGCTTCAATATGATGTTATGTGAGATGTTAGCATCAGATTGAATTAGACAACTGTAGAATAATAGAGAGATTAGAGGAAACACCACACTCCTAACGTGGGGGGTGACCTTCATATATATAGCCAATATGGCTGAGTATACATGGCAGTGTACATGCAATACATGGCAGGTGCTAATCACACTAAATATAGACTTGCCTAATATACACTTGCCTAATGTACATATCTATCACTCCCCCTCAGTCGAAGCGTCAGGATTCCGGATGCAGAGACTGGACCGAAAATCCTCAAACAGCTGAATCGGCAAACCCTTTGTCATGATATCAGCGAACTGATACTTGGACGGCACATGGAGAACACGAACCTCGCCGAGAGCCACCTTCTCACGGACGAAGTGGATGTCGATCTCAATGTGCTTGGTACGGCGGTGGTGGACCGGGTTGGCTGTCATATAGACAGCGCTGACGTTGTCACAGTAGACAACAGTGGCGATCTTCAAGGGAACATGAAGTTCCTGAAGAAGTTGTCGAAGCCAACAGCACTCTGCGACCACATGAGCCACAGCCCGGTACTCGGCCTCCGCACTGGACCGGGACACCGTGGTTTGCCGTTTGGATGACCAGGATACCAGGCTGTCGCCGAGGAAGACGCAGAAGCCTGATGTGGAATGGCGGGAGTCTGGGCACCCTGCCCAGTTAGCGTCGGAGTAGGCAATCAATTTGTCGACAGGCCCAGTGCCGATGTGGAGGCCAACCGACAGCGTGCCCTTCACGTACCGAAGGATGCGTTTGATCAGCGCGAGGTGAGCTTCGCGCGGGTCATGCATGAAGAGGCACACCTGCTGCACAGCGTACGCCAGGTCGGGGCGAGTGAGCGTCAAGTACTAGAGAGAGCCGGCGAGACTCCGGTACGTGGCGAGGTCGGCGACGGGAGCGCCCTCCGAGGCAAAGAGCTTGGCACGAGAGTCAACGGGTGTCGGCGTGGAGTGACACTCGGCCATGCCTGCCTTCTGAAGAAGGTCCACGCAGACGCTGGCCATTTGGCCGAGGAAGAGCCCGTTGGAGGAGCGAGTGGTCGAGATCCCTGTGAAGTGATGTAGCTCCCAAGGTCCGTCATGGCGAACTCAGAGTGAAGGCGGTCGATGATTCGGCGGAGCAGAGTGTCCGAGGAAGCCGTGAGGACGATGTCGTCGACGTACAGTAGCAAATAGGCACTGGTACCGCCCTCAGTGAAGACGAAGAGGGAGGTGTCGGTGGCAGAGGCGATGAAGCCGAGCTGTCGAACGTACGTGGCGAAACGCTGGTGCCACGCCCGAGGGGCCTGCTTGAGGCCGTAGAGGGAGCGCTGAAGGAGACAGACGGCGGCGTCGGTCGACGGACGGCCGGGTCTTGACGAGAAACCGTCTCATTCAGGTGACCGTGAAGAAAGGCATTCTTCACATCCGGTGAGTGGATAGGCCACCGACGCAGAGGCGGCAATGCCGAGGACGACCGAATGGTGGCGGAGCTTGACGACGGGGTGAACGCCCGGGTCGTAGTCGACGCCGTGGGCGCTGGGTGAAGCCGGACGACCCAATGAGCCTTGTGACGAGCGGTGTGCCATCGGAGTGGAACTTGTGCTCAAGATCCACTTGCTCGTGACTACGCGTTGGCGCCGGAGGCCGGAAACGAAGTCGCCACGTGTTGTTGTTGTCGCGAGCTCGGTACTCCTTAGCCATAGCGCGCCACCGGGTTTCGGCAAGGGCCCCTCGTAGTCACGGGAAGAGGCGAGGCGAAGAGAGAGGCGGCGACGACGCGAGCGGTGGGGAAGCCGTAGCGATCAACAGGCTTCAGCGAGCCTGTCTAGAGGCGCGTCACAGGCCGACTCGAGGTAGGAGGCGGCGGAGGTGTCGGAGGCCGCCCCAACCGAGGGAGAGGAGCTTTGTCTCTGGAACAATGGGCGCCGTGAAGGGGGAACCTCCACAACCGGTGTAGAGAGCGGTTCAGGAGCCGGCGCAGGAGCCGGTGCAGGAGCACCAGCACGCCGCCGAGCGTAGACCCGTAGAGGTGGAGGGCCGGTTGGAGCAGGACGAGCCGGGGCAGTGGCAAGAACCGGGCCAATTTGTAGAATGGCGGGGTCCTCAGCGAGCTCCTCCAAGTGAGCTCGGTGGTGCGGCCGCTCGTGTGTCATTTGGCGACAGAACGGCCGCGCAGGGGTGCCGTGGCGATAGTCGCGAGGCTGGGCACGGCAGTAGAACTCAGAAGAAGAAAGTCCAGAGAGCTCGGGAGCACACTGGTGGGGTCAGTATTGAACGGAAAATGCGTCTCGTCGAAGACAACATGACGGGAGATGATGATCCGTCTAGTTGTGAGGTCGAGACACCGATAACCCTTGTGTGAAGACGGGTTATCCAAGAAAGACACAAGCGGTGGAACGAGGGGCCAGCTTGTGTTTAGAAGTGGCGGTGAGGTTGGGATAGCAGAGACAACCGAAGACACGAAGAATGGTATAGTCTGGGGGCTGCTGGAAGAGTTGCTCATAGGGGACGCTATGCTGAATGGCTGAGCAGGGGCACCGATTGAGGAGATATGTGGCTGTAGCTAGCGCCCCGCCCAGTATTTGGGCGGCATGTGAGCGTGGATGAGCATTGTGCAGCATATGTCGTTCAGAGAACGGATGATACGTTCAGCCTTGCCGTTTTGAGGGGAGGTGTAAGGGCAGGAGAGTCGTAAGTGAATGCCACTGGAGGCAAAGAAGGTGGTGAGGGCATTATTAACGAACTCAGTGCCATTATCAGCCTGAACAGCTTTGACAGGAAGGCTGAACTGTGTGTGGACAAAGGCGCAGAAATTAATGATGTGAGTGGCTACCTCGGACTTGTGGACTAGAGGGAAGGTCCAGCAAAAGTGGGTGAAGTCATCGAGGATGACAAGGTAGTACTGGGCACCAGAAATACTAGCAACCGGGGACGTCCAAACATCACAGTGTATAAGCTCAAAGGGTAGAGATGAAACTGAACTGGAAGTTCCAAAAGGCAACCGCACATGCTTGCCAAGTTGACATGAGTGACACAGAGTATGAGCTGATTTATTACATGAAATGGACTTATTTTGTCTAAGCAAATGTAGGGTAGCAGCTTCTGGATGACCAAGACGATGATGCCATAGGTCGGTGGAGGTGGCGAGGTTGGCATGTGGCGTGGCAGGGATGGTGTAGAGGCCGTCGGAACTATTGGAGCGAAGAATCACGCGTCTGGTCTGCAGGTCCTTAACAGAAAAACCAAACGCGTCAAATTCGATAGTGCAATGGTTGTCACGAGTGAATTGGCGAACTGAAAGTAAGTTACGCACTAGAGAGGGGACAACTAGAACATTGCGAAGTGAAAAAGGGGACGCGTGGCCTGGTAATGTTGAAGTGCCGGAGCAAGAGACAGGAAGATGATGACCGTTGCCAACTGTGATGGATGGGATAGAAGAGGGTTGACGAGAGAGGAGTATACCATCCGAGTTGTGCATGTGGGAGGTGGCGCCGGAGTCCATGACCCAGCCGGAGTTCTGGAGCGCCATCTGGTTCAAAGCGGCGATGAGGCCGGCCTGATTCCACATTGGAGTGGATGGAGATGCCGGAGCAGGAGCGAAAACGGTGTGGGCCTGCGGGCTTGCACCCATGAGGCCCTGGCCACCGTGAGGGTGCCAGCCGCCAGGGCTGTTGCCCTGCTGCCAGCCGCTGGCTGGAGGGGGAACGCCGCTCTGGGAGGCCCATGGATTGTAGCAAAACCATGGCCCCATGGGGCGGTTGCCCCATTTCTGACCGTTGCCGCTGCTCTGCTGCCAGCTTTCGCCGGTGCCTTGGCCGCGCCAACCGCCCTATTTCTTGCCGCCCTTGCCTCTCTTGTCGCCCGCGGGGCCCTTGGGAGGAGCGCCAGTGGTGACACCAGAGGAGGAGGAGCGACACCCTGGAGAGGTGCAGGTGGAACTAGAGGTGGCCATCATGGCAGAGGCAGCCGTGGTCTTCTCGTCATTGGCGAGACGCAGCTCTTTGAGGGAGACCATCTCGCACGCCCTGGAGAAGGATGGCAGCTCGGCAGAGTTGGCGATGTCGTCGGCGGTGGCGGTGTAGCGCGGGTTGAGGCCGCGGAGAAGGCTGAGGACGAGCTGGGAGTCCTCGACGGTGTGACCGACGTCCCGAAGAGCGGTGGCCTTGATCTTGAGCCGCTGGCAGTACTCGTCGATCGTCAAGTCGCCCTGCTTTAAGGAGTGAAACTCCTCAAGCAGAAAGACAGCCCGAGGCGCGCGATTGGAGCGGAAGAGGCCTTCAATCGCCACCCACAGCTCGCGGGCGGACTGGTTCTCGTCGGTGATGGCAAGATGAAGAACCGAGTCGTCGACGGTGTTCAAGATCCAACCGCGGACAGTGCACTCGGCAATGTCCCACGATGGATCATCAGCGGGAGGAGGAGCAGGCCCGTCGATGTGGGGACGAAGACTGAATTTCCCACACAAGGCCTTGAAGAAGGAAGCCCACTTCGTGAAATTGGGATTCTTCATCTCCAGGGTCACCGGAATGTGGGTCTTCACGTTGACGGCGGTGTAGGGGTGGACGACGACAGCCTGCGGCGGTGGTGGTGCCGCGGCAGCAGCTGCGGCCGCGGCAGCGTCGGTTTTGTCAGGCATTGCGAGCGGGCACAATGGGGAGCAACGCACAGCCTGAGGTGGACGACGGTGTTGGATGACAGCCGCCGGGAGAGGGAAAAAGACGGAAGCAGAAGGTCCGGGATCTAATTGATCTCGGTCTTTGATAACATGTAGAATAATAGAGAGATTAGAGGAAACACCACACTCCCAACGTGGGGGGGTGACCTTCATATATATAGCCAATATGGCTGAGTAACAACAAATATTTTTTATATATTTAATTTAGATTTTGTCAGCAGCAGATTCAGTTGCTAACATTTCACTCTATTTACAGATTTGACATGAATATATGATATATATAGTGAAGTTGCAGCATTCTTACAGATTCAGCAAAAGTCTATCTATCATTTCTCTTCACTGGTCAATTTTCTTAAACAATTTCTCAACATGAGAAGCATACCTCTAGGAGGTTAATGAACCTGTACAAGTACCAACAGTAGCTACAACCTTTACTCGTTTATTACCAAGGATCATATTAATTACAGAGGAACACTTAGAACCTTTATTCATGTTTTTTTGTATTTGTGTGGCAAGTTTTGTTGTTGTTGTGTAGTTTGGGTGTGGGTTCTCATGTGTGCTTCATGTGGTGTAGATGTAGATGCCATACTTTTTCTTCTCAATTAATGATAACATGTAGCTCTCCTGCGCCATTCAAGGAAAAAATATGCATTATTATAATGCATTATGACACAACATAAAACAAACATTAATTTCACCGACTCACACCATTCTCATGCAATCGCATAGACCAGCAATTTTCAACAAACAAGGGTTTACATTGTGGCAAACATGAAAGCACAGCTTCTAGTTGGAATGGACAACCCAAAAACCAAACCAAAAAACGTTGAGGAAGTACCTAATTTTCTTGGTTTGTTCAATTTTTGTTGCTAAGTGCGGTTTTGAAATGTGCTTTGTTCAGTTTTGGGTGTTAGGTCTATGTTTCCATCAGCTGGAAACCAAATAGGCTGAAGAAGCTGATCAGTTCTGAACATACATTATATTCGAATCAACCAAGTGCCTCAGCAATCCAATTAATACATATGGTGCAAAAGGCAGGGCTGAGTGAGAACAGCTGAATCCCCCATAGACTCACTACTGCAGAAATCCCGCAGATCTTCCATGTCTGACTTGCCTATCACAGTCCCACCTCACACCACCTGCCACTACCCTCGCTCCTCTTCCATACCAAGGGGCAGAGCCAGAGCTACTAAGTAGGGCCAGCTGATCCCAATGATTTCTTGTAATGCAATGGGAAATCACTATTTACAGCAGTCATTGGTCCCAATAATACATCCCTGTCGTGGAGAAGATCACGATCTTATGTTTGCCCAGCTCAGCCCTGTCCACACCGCCACCTTCACCCCTTGCTCACAGCACCACCTACCCACCAGCCTGCGGCCAGCCAATTACTCAATGCCAAGAAAGCAAACTGCCAATCTTTCATGCTGGCAAAAATGCAGAAGAAATGAAGACAGATGTGGGCTCAGCAACTCGACGCCAGTATTGCCTCTTGGATTCTTTTTCTTGCCAAGACAATTTATGCTTAGTGAAATGTAAAATGGTTTGATGGAAGTGCTTATGCTAATTCAAGCTGCACTTCTTCCACTAAGAAGGTGCCTTACTACCTTACCTTTACTGTTTCCTTGAATCAAATTGAAAAGTTCATGAGGTCAGTAGCTGTTGCAGTGCTGTGTTTGTGCCGCCCTGCTGAGTGCTGAGGCGATGCCAATTGGTTTACCAAGAAACTGAATTAGCTGAACCAAATAACATTGGTCAATGAGGTTCAGTTTCTATTCAACTTAGTTATTTCGGTTGCCATTTCTCAGAAACCGAAGCTTAAACATAGGAATAAACCGAACCAATCTAACTGAAGAAACCAGGTGGCCATTCCTAGATTCTAGGCAGACAATATTTTCCATGAGGACCAATTTTTGTCTTAGACCATGTCAGTAAGGCTTCCTGGACAATGAAGTGCAGAAACAGAGCGCATTATTCATTATCCTAAAAAAGACAATAACCAGCAAAGCTACAAAAATGCATCCATGAGCCACGATCACTCTTTACTAACCAACTATAGTAATATGATATGATGACACTCAGGCTGCAGGCAACCAAAAGTCAAAACAAGTCAAACAACTTTGCCCCAAGGAAATCAAATGCATAAATCCTGCCCACGAGAAACTCTTAAGTTGTGAATCTCCATCATTTTAACTGAGACACAAAATGACACCAGAGATTAGACTAGAGCACCATGGCATGGTATCATCGTATTTTAACCTACCCTACTTAATTGTGTATTTGCGTTTCAGACTGTGTTCGAAGTTCCAGTGACAGAAGCTCTTATGCAAAAATGATAATTAACTTAATAAATTGTAAGCACAGAGATCCACTATAAACACACAAACTCCTCAATCTGGCATGACAACACAAAACAGAGTCAATCTTCTAACTAATCCCAATGAATAGGACACATATCACAGATGTGATAAGGCAAACAAAAAGAACTAGCTATGATGCTTAATAGCAGCTTCATCTCAACGAACTACAGAAAAAACAGATAATTAACCACGCCAGGTCCCATTTACGAATAATAGTCAGCATTCAGCACGGTCGTAGTGCAGTGTTATACCCTATTAAACAAGGGATGAGACTAAACAAGCATTCGTGACGCAGTGCAGTGTTATACCCTATTAAATAAGCTCTCACCTGCGACGAACCGAGGGCGCTGCAGCGACGCGCCGAACACGTAGGGGCTGTAGTTCTCACGGTCGTAGTAGTACCTCATGACCACCCGCTTCAGGAACCTGTAGTAGAGCGGCGAGACCTGGAGGTCGTCCTCGACGACGAAGGCGAATTCGTTGTCGGAGCCGGGCCACCACGCCTCGATCCACTGTGCCTGGAGCCCCGCGTTGGCGGCGCGGTAGTGCACGCGCTTCTCGCCGTGTGGCCACGGGAACGCGTCGACGAAGTCAAGGATCTCGTGCGACGCGGCGAGGGGGGACACCGAGGAGTTGGGCGGGCGGTGGTCGAGGAGGACGTGGAGCGCTACGCGGTCCCCGTCATAGTCAGCGGCGGCGAGGGAGCGGAGGCAGCGGCGAAACGCGGCCGGCCGGTCGTAGGCGAGGAGCTTGATGAGGAGGGAGAAGCGGCGGGGATCGGGGCTGGGGCCGGAGCCAGAGCCGGCGGTGTGGAGGAGCGGGGCGGTAGGATGAGAGGAGCGGTGGAAGAGGAGGAGGACAAGGAAGAGAGGGACAGGGATGAAGATGAGGAAGCGGAGTGGGAGGGAGAGGCGGCGAGGAGACGCCATTGTGGGGGTGGGCGGTGGCGCTGAAGTGGAGTGGAGGAGATAGAGGAAGTGCGACGAGACGGGACTGGAGGGGGAGGCGGCGGCGGATCGACGGAGTTGGAGAGGAAGATAGGAGAGCAATGACTGTTGAGGCCCATAAACTTTCTTGAGCGGGCAGTGGGCTTGAGGCCTGCAAAAGTGCAGATACGGAGAAGATGCTGGAGCAATCCTTAGTTCCCCGTTCGTTCGAGCTTAGCAGCCTGATTTATTAGCTATGAGCATCATTTGGTTTATTAGCCGTAGAAATTATCATTCTTTTTCACTAAAAATATCATTCTTTTCCATTTACTCTCTAATTCTCTACTCTCTCTACCTCAAAATAATTGACATCCTTAACTATGAATTTAGACAATTATCTCCCCTACTGTTTCAGTACTCCTTCCATCCCTAAATAACTGTCGTTCTCGCTTTCCGAGAAATAGCTTTGACTAAACTTATAAAAAAATTAATAATTATGGTACATAATTAATTTTATTAGATAGATCATTGAATCTATTTTCATAATAAATTTATTTAGAGATATAAATATTGCTAATATTTTCTACAAATCTAAGTCAAACTTTCGACATGCAAATGAATAGTGACAAATATTTAGGGACAGAGAGTAAAAAAGTGTCAACTATTTTGGAAGGAGAGAATATGTAGTTAGAATTGTGCATGTACACACTATGAATACTCTATTTTCATATCCTAATAATCCAAAACATTATGTTTTTACTATGAATATTTCAATATCATTTCAAATCCACAATAATACCGGGGACATGACGAATATGATTAGAGAGAATACGTAATAAATTCATATCTAATCAAAATACTAGAACAAAACGCGGATCTTATCATTGCCATTTGGGAGTGAACATAACATGGTAATGTTTGAACCATTTTTTCTTTAGCATTGTATGTGTCCCTTTCCTCGTACGCTAATAAGACAATACCAATTTTAAGATCAAATAAAGAGTCCGGCAAAAGTTTAATTTGCCCTCCACTAATTAGTTAGTTCATTTATTAACTTCCTTAGTTTCCTAGTAAAGAATAATTTAAAAAGCCATGTATGACGTGGACGGGGTTCTTGGTCTTTCGTTAGGTGGAGATAATTATTGATTTGGTAGAGAGCGATACACCGATCCAGATTCAAATCACAAAGAGCCGAGTCATGCATCCTTAGCACTATTTCTCCATTGGTTATCAACCATGTCACAATCCAATTGACCTCGCTGAGAAGACTAACCCTACTGCGAATGGAAGAACACAAACAAGAACAAGATAAAACACAACTCAAGTAAAATGACAATTGCAGATATGTGATTAATCTCTCGACTATGGGGTTTCACAAACCAATGACATCGACTATTCAATAACATATTTGTAACACCCTAAAATTTTGCACTTTTGAAAATAGAGTTAAAATAATGGTTATCGATTTTTGTGCTCATGAAATATAGGAAAAGTAATATTTTTTTAAATTAAAATTCATCATAGGAGTAGCAACATGCGGGATTGTGCATTCATGCTGGTTGCATTTGGTGCTTATGAGTGCAAATGGTTTTGAAATATGATAGAGCGATGTTTCTTTCTCTCAGGAAAATTTTCCGACCTTTTAGGAATTAAATTCCTTTTCCTTGGGCTTAATATTTTCCTTGATCTTTGCAACAATAATTTCGTGAGCTCTAAAAACTTTATTTGGGTTCATTATGTTCAAAAGTGTCTTGAGAATTTTTCTAGAATTTTTGGAGCCATCGGAGTATTTTTCGTGGGCTAAAATCAATTACGGACTTTCTGGAATTATCTTAATCCCGGAATTAATTAAATCCGAAAATAATAAAATATCTTGTTTTTCCACCGACCTCCAAACCCTACACTATATATATGCCGGTGTTCCTCTCGACGCGAGCTTTTCGAAATATGGCCTTGCTTTTTTCGAGCCGCCACTCAGTAGCCCATCAGATCGGACGCCGAAGTTCTCCACTAGGTTTTGGCCGAACCTTGGCGAGCTTTTCCGCCACCTCGGACGTCTCCGACGAAAACCGTCACCACCACAAGGTAGATCTCGTCGTTCTCTACACCGTAGTGTCCTTATTTTCTTGAATCCATCACCGTTTGACTATTTCCCCTTCGTTTTCCTTTTTCCAAATTCGTTTTCGGTGAGTTCATCCATGGTGGCACCTTCTTCTCTCTCTCCGGCCGAGGAAGCTTCCCTATGGTTGGCCGTCCACCACCATGATATGGAACCCAGCGCCGACCCGCTGCCGCCTTGGAGCTGGTTCGCCCCTTCAGCGCGTCCCCAGCGAGTGGTGGAGCAGCCATGCCGCCATTTACTGTCTGCTTGCTCCGCCATGGCTTGCCTTGAGACCCTGTCTTTGACCGTCGTGAGGGCATGGCTAACGCGCCCACCATTGTGCGCGCCTATGCGCCATTCTGCTTGCGCCGTCGGTGGCCGGTAGGCCGAGGCCGAGGCCCCTCTCCCCTCCGTGAGCAGCAGACATCAAATTTCCATGGTCGCCATGCCACGTCCGTGAGCAAGAAGAAGGCAAGGAAGAAGATGATGCAAATTACTGAATTGCCAACTGGTTCGTTTAATCTCCGTCATTTCTTTGTTTTAAATCCGTTTCAGTTCATTCCAGATTTGCGTTAGTTTCGTGTCGTCGAGATCTACGCAGCAGAGTTATAGTTTTTATATCACATGTTTATGAATTTATTTTATTAAAATATTAATTGTGTACATAATTAATTAATATTTGATTAATTAAAGTCGATTTAGGTTTTGATGTCGATTCGATTGCACGAGTTTCATCGCGAAGGTGTGATACGTGTTTGCAGTGATGATTAACATATCTCACATCTTGGAAATTTATAAGTTGAATATTAATTTGATTAAGGATTATTCAATAACTTGTTAATTAAGAGCAATTTAAGTTCTAATTTCGTTTTGCACCGTTTAAGTTGCGTTTGGTACGTCTTTGACGTGAATGATATGTTAGGGGCAATGTTTTTCATGTCACATGATTTTTCATATATAGCTAAATATTAAATTGGTTAACATGCTTATAATTAGTTTTATAACTAGAAATAATATAGGTTTTGTATTAGGTGATTATACATAACTCGTTAATCTGATTAATCATAAATTTCAAAGACAGTCTTAGATTATAATTAGTTGAATGTTGCATATGTGTTAAGTATGAATAGATGCCCTCACATGATTTATGTTTTTAATTTATAGATGTTTAAATGACTAAAAGTATATATATAATCTTTTATAATTATAAAATATGACGTATGCCAACATTAATGCATTTTTAATTATGACTTGCTTAGATCAATTATGAGACATAATATAGTTGTTCTATTAGTTACTCTCACATGTTCTATATTTCTAAAGTAAAGTTTAAATACTTTATATAATATGAGATATGTTGATTAATAAAATATGATTAATTAGTGACGTAAACATGTATGTCTTTAAATTGTAATTTGCCAAGTTTAAATGTGACATATATACTTTGAATATATATACTCTCATTTGTTATTATATTTCAATTTAATTTGCATAAATGATATCAAGATATTTATAATTAAGATATGATTAATTTATCTTAGTTTTCTAAATCTAATAACTCAAGTATAAAATGACTTAACTCAATTTTAGATATTCCCCTGAGATATCTTATACATGTTTTATGATCATTAAAATAGATAAAACATATAGTTTTCCTTCCAACGTAAATCCTTCGATAGATGTTTCTGTTTTACCGTAGCTCCGATTAGTGTGCCTTTCGCGTGTGTGTGATCGTAGCAATGCGTAGATTAGATTTCGAATCTTTTCATTGATTGGTGTATTGTTCTAATCTAGTATGTTTGCTATGCATGCTTGTTCGAATGCTTGTGTGGTGCTTTTCGGTCTTGTCCAGTCGGTGAGTTTTGCGTTGGTGATCTATAAGAAGTTGGAGAAGAAGAAGAAGAAGAAAACGTTGAAGATTAAAGCTTACCGAAGGATCGATGTTTAAGGCAAGTATAGTTTAGGTTTTCTTTCTGTGACCATGATCTTGAAGCTTGATTAATGAATATGCTATAAACACAAGAGATGACTTGTTAGCAACAACAGGAGGGTTAAATTCCCTCTCCACAAGGTCTCATTTGTAAGTGATCATCCGGGACTTACAGTACAGCTGTGAAGGCTATATGGCTCTGGCTCTAGTTGCTTGGGAGACCTTTTCTAGCAGGCTTAGAGGATACTACGAGTTGGGTATAGGACAGCCTCTGTCCTGTTGTGCCTTACTATGGAAGCGGCCTTTTAATGGAAGGGGGGTTCCTATATCCGATGACCCTGCGGCCCTTCCCGGTTAGACGAACTTCTGAGCAGCTTTATATGATTTCCGGTGTTTGGACCTTGCAAACCCATACATTTGGAAATCATGACTCACAGTGAAAGTGTACACCTCTGCGCAGAGTTTAATAAACTGATATATCAGCCGTACTCACGGTCATGAGCGGCCAAGGGATTCTTACGCCAAAGATGAGCACTTGTTTAATTATGCTTAACTGAGTTGTTTTGAGCTATTTATTATTCAATTACACTTGATCATGTGGTTATGGATTACACTACCTTGTTGCTATATTTACGAAGTTCTACATGGACTCACTCTTGCTATTCCCTCCACACCTCAGGAGAAGTTTTAGGCTTGTGATCAACCAGTCAGCTTGGATCCAGTGGAGTGAAGTCTGCACCCGGAGATCAGAGTTGTCTGTCCGCTGATTGCTTTCTAAGGTTATCTCTTTTGCGAAGTTCGCTATATATTAAGCATTGTGAATTGATATTGCCCCTTCATTTGTAGCTATATGTGAGGTTTGATTACCAGGGCTCACATATGGTGTGCATTCGGCTTTGTCCTTGAAACCGGGTGTTACAAGATTGATCTAAACTTAGGCAAAGGCTACTGAATATATAGTCTAAAGGGCTG